CGCTGCAATCCTACTTCTCCGCCCAGCGATCTCGGTACTTAAGCCGATTTAGGAGGGATCTAGCTCACCGGACAATACTATTCCCAGAAATTTCGGCGGGGGCGACTTGTCCTGTACGCTTCTATTTACTTCCTCTCAATATAAACCGGCCATGAATGAGGGACTGTCGTAAAATACGCCTTCCATTTCCATTCACTCAGCGGGTCAACGGCTCTGATAGTGTAGTCTCGTACAATTGTCGCGGCTATCTTGAAGATTTGTATCTCAGCCAAGTGCTCGCCCGGGCATCTATTGTATCCCATCCCAAACTGTGTAATCGTTAACCAATATAAAGTGAAAGGAGACAAGAGATGAGGCCATACCACAAGCCAGTGTCTGTATTTCTTTTGAAAACCGTTTGGCAGCCACCGCTCTGGTCTAAACTCGTTTGCATCTGGGCCCCAACAATCATCGCTCTTCTGTAGAACCCTGGAAATAAGGGTTAAACACTTGCTTGTGAAATCGAGTCTAGTGAGCAAAAACTAAAGAGCTTACTTACTGTGGATTAATGGACAAGACTGTTCCTTCCGGGAAGTACATGGATCCAATGTTGATTCCGCCTTTTGGAGCGACCCTGGAGAGTTGGAATGGAGTAGGTCCGAACATGCGTAGACTTTCATAAACACACGCTTCCAAGTACGGGAGCTTCCGAGAATCACGGTATGAGACGATACGATCCCGTAAACGGCCTAGGCTAATTGCTGTCTTTGTTTCGTTTTTCGCACGTTGCCAAACATTTGGATGTTTCATCATGAAGTAAACAAAGGATTGCAGAGCACCTGAATAGAATCAGTCAGTGTTAATTGACTTCGGGGCGATCAACAGACATGATAGAGTATCCGAAGCTGCAGCTATGCTAGTAGTTGTCTGCGCTTCAACGTCGCGATAACTAAGCAAATCTGGTCGTTCATGATGAGCCTTGAGCCAGTGTGCGACAATGTCGAATCTTGCGTCTGGGTCTTTCTTTCGCTGCCGCAGGGCTTCCATGGACGTCTTGAATAAATGACCCATTGGGAGAAGCCCTGACCAAGTGATGATAGGGTTCGCAACAAATAGTCGATGAATCCATACATGATAACCAGCAATTGCCATGTAGCAGTTCAATGATCGACTGTTTGCGATGGAACCACCAATGTCTTGACCTGCCTTGGTGAAACCAAAAGAACGCGAAAAGATAGCATCACCGGCATTGTCAAAGGTAACATACGAGAAAAACTTGTCTAGATGCGTGGGCTCATGAGTTTTTGCATATTTATCCATCCAGTCAAAGAGGTGAGTCATGTTGACATCAAAGTGTGCTTCTGAACGAAGCAGATATGAGAGAGTAAATCCCGGGGCAAACATCCTCGACCTTTCCATCTTTTCCTTGGGGTCGAGGGTAGATTGCGGGGTGGCATAAGTGTAATCCGGTATGGTAAAAACTCGATACCAGTCTCCCTTGGATAAAGTCAATGTTAGTATATATGACCAGGGTGGCGATGGACAATGCTGGGCTGTGATGTATTGAATGACCAGACAGAATTACAGGCATAATCTGACGTACCTTGCGCAAAGGCTTCTGGAGCAGCAGGTCTGGTCCATCAGGATGACTGATGCTCACCTCGTTGGGCGCGATCCTGACAAAGTGGCCATGTTTTTCATGAAGTTCCATCACGCGAGTATTGTGGTCGCCATTGTAAATGTAATAGATATGCCACAGCCGAGTGATGGATGCCCAGAACGGCCCTGGGACGTCTGATATCGCGGAGAAGTAGCGCCGAAGTACAGCAGTTGCGACGAGGACGAGCGCTGTTAGCACAAGGATGGAGCTACACCATCGCCCAGCGCCGAGAAGGACCCAGTCCATTGTGCCTGTCAAGACTAGCACTTGAGAGCTTACAATGCCCACTATGAGCATCAATGGCGAAAGGTTGGAGACAACGGTCGTTGATCAAACTTGTCTATGGATGTGAAGGGGTACCAATGCCATCCCAAACGGTTACGCTCGAATTAACACTGCTGAAACTCGCTGAATCATGAATAGCCAGTCTCCTGCTTAGACCGGGGCTGTGATAACAGGACTAGGGGTATTAACTCAATTCAAATATGATAACAGTCTTTGGCGTCGGCGTCCTGGCTTTTCAAGTACCTAGAGACCAAAGAGCTTGTATTTATACAAGACGTCGGTGAGAGCCTCATACCCTAGGTCTCGTGATCAGGCAGACCGCCTACAGCCAGGTATATTGAATCGAGAGAAGGAGTGGGCACGGACATATTCAAGCAGCAAAACATTGATGGCTGCCGCCCATACTGAAGGCTATACTTGCCCCAGATGATACGACTGGTCTGAATTACGGAGGATTACTGCATGCAGATAGAGAGAAAAGGAGGGGGCGGGGAGTTCTGGTGGGTGCAGAGCCTCAAGAACATTGAGGGATGCCGAGCTGCATAGTGTTGCATCAAGTATGACTAAGTCAATGAAAAAGTTGGTTCGCCTTCACGCCACTTCTGCAAGAATTGGGGGCAGCACACTTGACTTGTCCCTTCTGGGTTGTTATTCTGTTTCACGGGGGCATATGCTTATTAACATTGCATTTAGATGCATCTCGATGATTGTAGTGAGATGCCGTGTAATCAAGGGTGAACAGTGGCTTGAATCCATAACGTGGACTATACTGAACTTGTTTGGCTAATTTCAGATGGTCCTACGTACAAGTCTCCGAGGGCCTGATCTAATAGTTGCTAGTTTAATATCGGCACTGACGCATATACGATTATGCAATGCAAGCATCTTACACAAGCTATACGCGCACACCGTGAGCCAAAACATGCATTCTAGCTATACATGACGTGATGTATTACATCTTGTCTCACGTATTCACGTCTGTCACTGGCTTATGACAAACTCTTCCCTTGGAGTAATAGTCTTGTGCGGGCCAGAGGCAAAAATATTAACCGAAGCGTATGCCTTAAACAGCAAGGAAAGAATTCCAGCTAGACTTTACCCCCTCGCCTTCTCCAAGCTCAAGGCTTTCTGGACTCAAACGAATCTCATCGCGAGTAAAGTCCATTGTCACGACAACTGGATTTGCTGACTTGGTAAAGGGCGGTCTTCTGGAGAGCTGGGAGCTTTTGGAAGAATAGACAGCCTGAGATCGCTGAGATCTCAACGTAAGTAGTGATGTCACCGATCGAATCGTGGATATTGGCCCTTGTATCAAGGCCGACTTTTCGTAGAATCGGGGAAACATGGGCATACACCCAACGACTGTGGTTCCAACAAGCTCTGCGAAGCTATGAGAGGTTTTATTATTAGACCAATTGTTCAATGTTCAATTTTAGGTCCAGACGTCCTCTTTACTTACGTCCAGAGGCCAACCCTCGCAATTGCCATTGTCTGATTAGCATCTCTCAGAAGAGGTATCCGGTAGGCTACCCCGAACGCGGCAATGGTGCATGTACTGGACCGACATCAGCCAACAAAAGACCGAGGGCGGACATTCACAACAGAGTTTGAAGTCCGTTTTGTTCAACTTACAAAATCCCAACAGCAAACACGGACATGGCGCCAATCTTTCGCTTAAGGGGCATCTGCAGGTGCCAAATTGCCCAGACTGGGACAACCAAGATGCCAAGATCAAGGAGGAGATTAATTAGTCCGGCCGACAAGACGCCCGCGCTATTGTCGATGCATTTCCCAGCAACCTCAGGATTCCATATCTTGTCTCGAGGTATGCATTGGAATGTAAATGTAAAAAAGCAGGCAATGTAGTACATGATTGTAGCTGCAATAAGGCCATTCAGCGCCCACCGGACTGCGCCCCCAGATGACCGTCGGGGACTAAAGATCCTCTTGAGCTGGATGCAGACGAAGTACTTGGCGGCTCCCATGGAAGGGGGATAGATCATCTGGAAAACGTTGCACAGCTACAAGTAACGGGTTAGTCCTATGAATGATTGTACGTGGCCAGACAAGTCACGTACGTATAACATGTGTGACATGTCAACCGCTCGAATGTTCCACATATCCCGCGTCAGTCCTATAGACGATAGATGAATATAGATGGCTCCCCATGCGAGAAATCCAGCCTGTTGAACAGTTTAGCATGCCCTTGGAATATTCTCATAATGGATATCTTACTAGCGCTACAATGGCCACGTCTGTTCCACACATGTTAGCAAAGACGTGCCAGGTCGCAATGAGGGCGAGAACATACAATCTTCGTGCCTCATTTCTTTGATGATGATAGCTTTGGTGTATGTCCGTATAGCCACTGCGAGTGTCATTATAGTCATACAGGTGGTTCCGACACTCAAGGTCCATGCATGCAAAGATGGTGGATCTATAAAGTTGGACTCAATTCCAGCCGGCGGCTTAAGAGCCGGGGTATCGTACGGAATTGGCTCTGTGGCCATGATGGCGTCGAGTTTAAACGCGGAAGAGAAGCTGTGGCTGCGCACACAATCCTGAAGTGTCGATTATCAGTTTCTGGGACCGCAGCAAAACCATGTGACTGGCCTGTGCAAGAGCACCAGTCGACAAGATTCAAGTTGAAGAAAGAGCCATGCAGAAGAAAGCACCCAGAATTCATCTTTTCTTTAGAATAAGCGCGCCGTTGGGGCGATTTGGTAGCTGGGGAAGGGATCTGGTTCCCTGTAGCCAGCCTCGTCTACAAATGCAATGCCTCATTTCCAGCCGTAGTCTCTTCATTTTCAAAAGTCCCGCGTGTACGGCCCTCACCTTGGGATTCAGTTGCTTGGTCGTGTGGCTTACATGTTTCACGTAAGCCGAGTAAGCTTGACGACGGCACACTGTCTCAAGACATGAGGCATCTATGCATACATGGACCACTAATAATCCACAAAACCGAGGATCACAGCGGAATCAAATACGACCGTAAGCTTGGTAGGGTGAATGGAACCAACATGCATCTTCAAAGGACGACTCAGAATTTTGTGGCACCCACGTATTCTCATGCATACAACTTTATCTTGGACCGTTGGTCACAGCAGCGCTTTTTTGCAAGGCAAGTCCCATCCTCATTGACAAGTGTGCATATGTACGGAGTAATACTCAACTAGTACTGCTACCTATTTACAAAGTGGAGGTATTTTGTATCCTCCAGGTACTAGTTGCTGAAAAACTTGACTCTCATCGTACTTGGCCTGCACCTCTCGCAGTCTTGCGACGTTGTCGCGTCCATACGAGCCGAGCACATTCTGGTCCCAGCCTGCGTCGTTCATAAAGAGATAAGGAAGGTGCGTTTGCTCCGTTTTCGATTGCTCGACTATCGATCCAAGGATGTCATGGGTAGCGCTGCGCAGTAGTTCATCGTCCTCGGCGAACTCGCAGCCCGAATTGATGACGAACCACGTCTGGTTGACCAGATTCAGGCCCAACGCGTTTCCGCCGCGATCGCGGCCTGCCTGAACAAGTCCTGTAGATATAGGTTGCATCCCAAACGCTACGGTTCCGTTCTTCATAGACTTGACGCGTTTCAAGGCACCCGAATTCCCCATCAAGCTAGTCAGGGAGTTGTAAAGCTGCTGGCCGGGCTCAAAAACTGCTGTGCGGAAGTATGCTCTCCTGCTCATACACGGTTTGCTCAGTATTAATCCAGCCTACAATGCAACCATCCGTGGATCTACTCACGGCGGAAAACTTGGTGGACCTTGTCCAGCGATAAACTCGCTAAAGTTTGACATTCTCATCGAGTCTGACGTGGCGTTAATGTGATAGAAGGGCGCAAATGCGCTCGGGAACTCCTGTGGTTTGAGGTAGACCAGACTCAGCATGATGCCCGTGGTTTCCTTACTAAAAAAGCCTTGCAGCATGAGGTTCGCATAGGGATCCTTTTCCGGGGTGAACTGATACTTGAGCATGGCATCATAGAGCGCGGGAAGCTGCTCCAGCTTGTAAGTTTTAATCCCGGCCCAAACCTTGCCAATGCTATATGTCGACACGGTGAAAGATGTTACAATACCTGGTTCACGTCCTTTTTAGTACGTGGGTGGGAAAGCCTTGGCCGGAACGGCGGAGGTGGGAATGGTATATACGTACCAAAGTTGTTTATCCCACCTTTGAGAGCCCAGTGCAGGTCTTTATGGTGCGTCTCGCTGGAATTGACAGTGGTTCCGTTGGCCAAAACAACCTTTTTTTGTTTTAACTTGGTTAGGATAGGGACTTGGCGAGAATTTGAGATGTGTGTATATATTAAGGACTTGCCTCAAAATTGACGACGTTATCGCACGCCAGACCGTAGAGATCGGAAAGATACGAAAGGCCACCTTGATTTCACGTCTCTCAAGGTAAGTTACAAGCCAAAAAGTCTGGGAGAGCTGTGGACGAATGTACCTCCCAGAGTCAATCCGCCAACGCCAACACCACCTACTCTACCACCAACCACGGTGACACCAAAAGGGTCCAATTGGGCATACACCTCTCCCCAGGTAAGGCCAGAGCCTATAACTGCGACCTGGGAAGCGGCATTGTAAGCAACTCTGTTGAAGCCGGAAAGGTCAATCAACACGCCACCGTCAATATTGGCAGCCTGAGGCGAGGGCGAATGACCCCCAGACCGAATTGCAAACTTGGTCTTGGATTTGACCAGTAGCGGTAGGGCACCTTGTAGCTGCCGCGTGCTAGTTGGCCGGAAGATGCAAGAAGGTGTTCTCCAAGCCGTGCGGGACCTGGACAAGAAGATGAACAAAAGCAAGCAGTCAACTGATTAGCTCTCAGGTATTTCGAAAGGTAGGTAGGGCAGGGGCAGAGGGGCTGCTTTACCAGTTCTTTGTCCTTAGCTTGGAATACTGCAGGTCACCCTGTAGAAAAGTCACGGCACTGTATGCATCACGGAGATGCAGACACGCAGATTGTTGTGCCTGTGGCGGTGTTGCTGGCGAGGCAGACAGAGCGGCAACGGGCGATCCGGCAACCCAAAGTCCCATGGCCAAAGCCGCACACGAAATATACGAGAGCATGTCTTGTACGGAGTAGCTTGCTTGGATGGAATGCGAGATATCACGGCAAGATCAGATCAAATCGTGGTCCATGTATACATCAATTCAGGCACCGGGGCTTTAAATCAGCGGCGGCATCAAGCTTTTGTATTGAACGGGTTTTAACGAGGCCATTTTTTGGTGTATTTTGGTTTAAACAATTATTGACTGATAAAAAAAGCATCAACCCTGGTACTCCGCATGCTGATTTGTTTCGAGCTATAGTTTAACATTCAGGGCGACGGCTAAGATGCCATGGCTCTGGCTCCGGACTTGGTGTACATTGGGGGACAAAAAGCAGCTTGAGCGCCCCGTCTTACCTCAGTCATGCGCGCGGATCGTCGGTTCGGTCAGTCAGTCTGACACAGTTGTAAAAACTGTGTGATTCACCAACATGGACATGCTTACTGCAGCAAGCAGGGATGAGGTATTTCGATACGTAGTACTGTTGGCACGTCTGTGCATATCCAAAGACACACGGAGTACCAGTGACATTTTGTCATTTATGACAATACAAGTACGGGAGTACCGGACTCCTTGGAGGGTGGATGTTGTTGGATCGATTGATTATGACGGCTCCAGCCTCCTGCGATTATTCTTGTCAAGGTGGTCTGGTGTGCTGGTCCATAGTACATCATTGATTCATGTTGTATTGTTCGTAATCTGAGACTACGGTTCCAGACCTGGACCACTTGACGCCTTAGCCTGCCTTGTTTGTTCCACCAAATGTCCTCAGCCTCTTCCTCTTGATCACGCAGCGAATATCCTAGCACGGAGACTTCGCATCGGGCGCGCCTTCTCCTTTTCACGTCTGGTTGCTTCCCAGGAGCACCATTCCGCCAGCCGTCCCCTCGCGCTTCTCTTCGGCCAAACACCAAACAGTCCTCTCCTCACTCTCCCGCGAAAATGGCTGGTCTAGTCATCTTCACTGGGGCGAACAGCTCCATGGGCATCCCCGCTGCCGACCACCTTCTCCAAAGCTACCCCGACTACACCATTGTCTTCACGGTGAGGGACGCGTCCGACGTTGATATCAACACCAAGAGGCTGCGCGACACCATCGCCAAGCACCCAAACGCCAAGGCCTCCATCCTGCCACTTGACCTGGCCAGCCTAGAAGCTACGCACGAATTCGCTGATGAAATCATTGCCGGCATCCAAAGCGGCAAGTATCCTCGCCTTGCTGCCATTGTCTGCAATGCCTACTACTGGAATCTCGTCGGAGACCCTGAGCTCACTGGTAATGGATATGACAAGACGTTCCAGGTTTCCCACATCTCCCATGCAGCCCTAGTTCTGAGACTACTGGGCAGCTTTGGCGATGCCGGCGGCCGCATCGTCCTCCTCTCTAGCGACTCGCACTGGCCTGGCAAGAATGCCATGGAAAAATATCCGCCATCTATGGATGACCTGGAACACTTGGTTCACCCGACTGTGGATGATGACAAGCAGGGTCGCGGGTACCAGAGATATGCCACGGCCAAGCTTGCCATCACCACCTGGATGTACGCGTTGAATCGACACCTTGAGGACGTACGTGCCCTGTTTTGTTTTGTTTGTTTTGTTTCCCAGACTGCTCCATCTAGATTGCCTGATCATCGCGACCTTTTGTTCTCACAAATAAGCAGGATGAAAATCTGAAAAGGATAACCGCCGTCGCCATCAATCCCGGCAACATGGTCGACTCCCGCGCCCTCCGTACCAACACACCGCCTAGCTTGCACAAGATGCAAAAGTTTGTTTACAAGCCTCTGCTTCCGGTTTTGAAGCTCATCATGGGCCCGACCCTACGCACGGCAGCACCAGCTGGCGTCGATGTCGTCGAGCTCACTTTGAACCCAAAATATAAAGCCAAGCGCGGCTATTATACTCTCCTTGAGGAAGATGAGAGCTCCCCGGATAGTCAGAACAGGGAGAAGCAGTCCAAGCTATGGGCCCAGACTCTGATTTGGGCCAAAATCACCGAGAATAATACAGCTTTACAAGATGGGGTTAGGGTTCAAAGGTGATACCTCATGCTATGTAGCTCGACATCAGCTCGTATCTCGCTCGTCTTGGTCAGCCCTTGACCGCCGCACATGGTAGCAACTAGATTTAGTCAATGAATATTAATACACAGAGTCATCTCAACAAGTCAGCGCTTCCAGCTTTCCTGTTTTCAATGCTTGGAAAAAAGGAGTAGGTCATTTTGCATTGGACAATTTTTCCACCACGTCATCCAAACAGCCCTCTCGTCGCTTCTTGCCTCTCTGCAACCGCATCCAGTCAATCTGTTTCAGTTTGCGAAAAGAAACGACAGAAGAATAGTGTGGTTCCCATCTTTCTAACTGCAAGGGGCCAGTTGCTTGTCCATTTGCGGTGGAAAGGTTGGTACCCAAGCAGCCCGCCAATCCATCTACCAACAATGATGCCAGTTACCTGTGCAAATCTGCGGCTAAATGGTATCCACGTAGGAAACGTTAGATACGAACCGCCAGCATCAAACATCTGTACGTCAGGTTAGGGCTGTGCTGCCGAAAGGGCGGCGTTTGTGACGTACATTCATGATCTGAATGACATCGAATTTTCCACCGTTCATGACGACCTCGTCCTGATAGCCATACCAGTTCTGAAAAAAAACATCGTCGAGCTGGAACGCTTGGCGCGATTTTTCCCCGGATAGTAAAAATCTTGTTGTTTTCGCGCCAACCGTGTCTCCCGCGCCAGAACCCAAGGCATTGTCCATGATGGGATAAAGGCGATGGTTCGCCCATGGATCGATTGAGAATTCTCCGTCTTTGGCCGTCAACCTGTACTCAGTCGTCTCCACCTCAACGCCTAGAGTGCCCTCGACTACTTGGATATACTCTTCTTGAAATGGATGGAAGTGCATTGGCGGCTTCCCTCGCGACGTGACCTTTGCAAGGTACGGGTGGTCCAAGAAGAAGGTGACATCGTAGTAAAACGCCCTGTTGGGCTCATCGACTCGGAGGACCTTAATAGCCCCACCGAATCTGGCCAAGTCGATTTGGTGAGTCGTATTCAAGCACATGAGGAACAAGTGTAAAGCAGTCCGGGGCAAACTCACGCATTCATGACCAAGTCTGCATCTGAGCTAGACATGGCGGCAAGCGTTTAGTCCCAGACATCTGTCAGAAGGGTTAGTTTGACGAGTTCATTTCCAAGTTGGCTTGGTTTGACTGCCAGCGCTTGAAAAACTTGGCCCCTGCTGCGAGCCCCTCAGCTTTCAATGTTGAGTGAGACCTTGACCAGGCTCTACAGGCAAGTACGGAGTACCATAAGCTATGTAGGCATACGTGGCGTCACCCCCTGTGCTTTGGTAGGAATGTACGTCGCCCGTCTAGGCTCATCTTGTCCGTGTTATATCAGCGTGCATGAATTTGGAACCAGGCTTCAAGATTTATAGCAACTAGACTACGGAGTGCTTTGCTTATATAATACACGTACACGTGCATGTACTTAAGCGTCCGCACTTGACTCGTCTTGTTGCATGGCAGATGTCTCCTCTTACACCTACTTGCGCACCTAACGCTGTGGGCGAGGCTGTTCCTTGAAGCATCCATCTCGGTCAGCTATCATGAATAGCAACCGTGCCAAGCACATCAACGACTGCGATGGAGATTTGGCTCGACAATATGGAGGTAGTCATACCGGCAAATGGGTTGGCAAACTGCCTCCGTCATGGATTCCCTTTATCCAGCTAGCTAGGCTCAGCCCCCCGGCTGGTGTCTTCTTGGTCCTCTTCCCTCATCTCTATGGCATCATGCATGCCTCAATCCTGCAGCAGGCCCTATCAGCTCAGACTATCCGCACGGGTATGCTTGTTAGTGTCGGAAGCCTGTTCTTGTCTAATGCCATCCACGGATGGAACGACCTCGTTGACGCGCCTATTGACAAGCTCGTCACTCGCACCAAGAATCGTCCCATTGTCAGAGGGGCCATCTCACCACGCGCCGCATTTACATTTACCGCCAGTCAGGCGCTGATTGGGTCAACTCTGCTCCTGTTCCTGCCTGGGCTCACGGCGGTGACAGCGATCCCGAGTATTTTTGCCAATGTTTATTACCCCTTCTCCAAGAGGCACACCTATTTCACGCAGTTTATATTGGGGCTTAGCCTCGCTTGGGGGGTCAATATCGGCACAATCGCCATGGGTGTGGTGCCTTGGGAGGAGAAGTTTTTGGCGCCTACTGCATGTCTTTTTGCTGCACTGGTCTTATGGACAGTTATTTACGATACTATATACGCCTTCCAAGACGTACAAGATGATATGAACATTGGCGTCAAGAGTACTGCAGTCTTGTTCAGACAAAGCGCCAAAATATTTCTATGGTCCTGTTTAAGCTTAATGGTCAGCTTCCTCTCTATTTACGGCCAAATACTTGGGTTAGGACTTGGGTATTACGGCTTAGCCGTAGGAGGCTGTGCGGCATTATTAGCGGTCATGATTACCAAGGTTAATTTGCAGGCTTCACCTAGCTGTTGGTGGTGGTTCAGGTATGGGTTCTGGCTTCCCGGAGGGTTTATAGCAGGGGGGCTAGTATCTCAGATAGACAGGTAATAATAAAGCAAATAGGGACAATATGCCATTCCAAGGCAGACTACTTATCGCTCTCATCAACTACGTTGATAGGAATGCTTAGTATCTCGCCCAATACCCTCTCGGTAATAAAATCTCCTGCAGGCTCAACCATGCCTTCCAAGGCTCTCGTCGCTTCTTCCAGCGGCTGCATAGTCTGCTTACCCCTATCAGCGCCGCTGGCTAGCAGGAAGATGTAGCCGACAACAAAAGGCAGTTCAGTTTCATTGGAAAGGTAATCCGGCCCGTAAATCTGCCTAAGCAGAGGATCGCAAGCCTCCTTCACGGCGCGCAGAAGACGCCAACACCAGCGATGCATTTGCACATAAGGGAATGAGAACTCCAGCGTCTCCGCTTGAAGAGCAAACGCAAGTTTCTTTATCATGCATTCGGCAGCCATGCGAGAGCCTCCAGTAGCCCCTTTACGTCGAATACCTTTGTTATATTGCTCTCTCAGCCTCTTCTTCTCTTCCACCTTCTTTGAGTCCTCAATCTGGCCGAGAAGCAGACCGCCTTCCTCGTCAAATTCTTCCTCGTACATGCTCAAATCAATAATCTGGTCCAGTTGTTCTGCCGTAATGGAAAAGGTGACCATTTCGCGGTATCGAGAGGCGAACATGTGGTGCACCGGCGCGTTGGGCTTTATTCCGCGCGGCCCTGCCTTGGACGCTACCCTTTTGCCTTTGCGTCGGTCTTTGCTAAAAGCCGCAGCCAGGGTGGCGATCAACTCA